CTTTAAACGTTCATTGCTGGTATTAATTACATGACCTTTTAGGTCAAGTTTATTTTAGTCTCAAGAGAGTTTGGATATTTTGAACTAGACGCTCTTATTAGACCGTGAGTTCGGCTATTTTGGAGAAAAATTAAGAAATATATATTTTAATCTAATTTTTATCTTTTATGTAATATCCTGCTGTCTTTCTCAAGTTTGATTTACATTCATAATATCATATGATTAGACAAAATATAACATCATAATCTTTTCACTCGTGTCTATCAATTTTCAAAAATAGCTAGTCCGACTTCACGCCCCAGGGGCGTCTAGTTTTATGTAATCAGCGCATGCGTTTTGTGGATTATCAGTGTGGTATTACGTCATATATGACTAGACTAGTTTTTGATCCCGCGAGGCAAGGGATCACTGAAGTAACACCACAGGTAACCCGCATTTAGCTAAGAGCGCGAGACGATAAGTACCAGTGTAAAGGCGTGCGCATTCGTTCTTTTCTTTCTCTCGAGCAATAGTTGGGTGCCCTATGGGGTGCATTCTTTAAATACGTTAGTATTACGWACAAAAATWGAAATAAWGGACAGTAGTTCAAGCGCATAGAAAGGAGAAAGACATTCGGAATTTGTTTTTCCGATGCTCTTGAAGGCTGTTTAGAGCGGCCGTCTGTAAAAATCGACCAAATGCAAAATAAAAAAAAATCGAAAATTCTCGAACAATGATGTAACAATAGACTGATTCCATAAGTCAGTACCAGTTCCTCTCTGTCGATATTTTTGTCGCTCACAGCGATAAACCGAAAAATCGAGGAGCGATTACTGCGACTTATATATGGAATCAGTCTAATGTAACACAGACTATCGAACACAGGCCCAAATGAACTATTCACCACTATTAACGTGGAAAATAATAAAAAGTTCTTCGCATCTTTAYCATTTTACGAAAAAATAATGACATCACAATACAAAGGAAACATATCGTTGCTTTTTTAGCTAAAACGTTTAAAGGCTGATTTACACGGCACGATTGTCTACGACTTGAATCGCGCAGTGTAAATGCCCTTACGACTTGTCTACAACAGTCGTAAGCAACCTACGACTTGTASTAGGATTTTGAACCACTGCTTAAAATCCTACGACTTGTAGTAGGAAAATCGTATACTACAAGTCGCGCGCGACAAATCGTACCGTGTAAATCAGCCTTAAAATATATCGTTTCGTCGGGGAATCAGTTTTCAACAGCGACGCTTCACTTCGACGCTWATAATCCCATATTGCTACATGGGATGTGCTATTGGGACTGCGCAATATTTATCTGAAGGGGGTGGGGGTGTTGAGAAATGAGGCAAAAATAAAAAACTGCCCYAAAAATGCAATCACGCAATGACCACAGAATTCACGTACACAATGTTTAAATAGAGTGGTTTTCATTAACCCKTGAAACACACTTTAGCCTATTTATCGCTATTACACTTTGGCTCTTTTGTTTTTTTATTGTCTCTACGCAACTATTACGATCTAATACACTCTAATTATTACACTTTGTTTCACGGGTTTATAAAAATCACTCTATTAAAATATTTTCCAAAATATTTTGCTAGGGCAAAAGATTTCTGTAATTTTGTAATGTGAAATTGTTGTCAAAAAATATATGTTTATCTGACCAATACCTATTGTTACAAAATGTTCTTCAAATGTATGATTGCAAAGCAATAGCAATAGGAAAATCAGGTTTATATAGATTTTATAATTCGCGATCACAGGCCCGTAGGCTGCAGCCTTACAAATRGGGGGTTAGTTTTTTATATGAGGACCTAAATCAAATGTTGAAATAAATTAGTTAAACACTGGCTGCTRGTATGAGCAGTTCAATACAAATTACTCAAAAACACTGAGTTCATAACAAAAGAATTTTAAAAAAGAACAATAAAAAAGAGAAACACCGGACCTTTTATGGATCATTCACGTATGAAAAACACATCGCACGGCCAAAAGAACAAAAAATTCGCATTCAAAGAGCATCCAAGTATATTTTCTTAGATAATCGCCATAGGAGGCCTGGAGCCAACCTCTTTCCTCAATGGTCTGGAGAGCCTGAGTTTTACCATCTTGATTTTGTGACCCAACAGGTTTCAACTAAGAGTGTGGTGAAAGATTTCAATATCCGCGGTCCTACGCGCGTACGTATACGTGTGGGKAAATTCATATCTAATATGTTTGCTTACTTCTCATCGCATTTTCAAAATTGGTCATAGGAAGATATTTCTTGTCAGACTGGATGAGTTTCTATGATCGCTCGTTACCKCTATCGCTATTTTTCGATCCATCTTTTTCTATCGCAGCGTTTTAATATCATATGTTCGCTGTACGTAAAAATGACGCTGGGTGCATCAGGAGTGACTTACATTTATACCATCGAAACAGTGAAAAGATCAATTTAACACCGTAAAAAGGTAGGTGAAGSAGCTTATTACCGATAAGCTGATTTTAGTCTTGCCATATACATAGGAAAACAGTTTATGCCGTTACGTTAACGGCTGATTTTAGTCTTGCCACTACATAACAAAACATTTTAAGCCGTTAAGATAAACGGATGATTTTAGTCTTTCGTCAATGGTTATCATGAACATATATCAAAACTTTTGAAGCCGTTAAGGTTAACGGACGATTTTTGTTTTTCGCAGTATAATAATAAAATGATTATCATATCATTACATACCAAGTTAATGGCTTACATGATTTATTATACATATATTATTATACATATCATTATCATATTCTTTAGCCATAATATATACTCCTTAGACGAAACACAAATAACAATTTGATATGAACGGTAAACAATGACTGAGTATGGAATTGCTTCGTCCTGAGAGTAATTGGACACCCTTAACGAACCATAGATCGCGTGACTAAATTTAAACTGCGTTATAAAATTAATAAATGTTATATTCTGTCTAATGATGTGATTATGTATGAATGTAAATTATGGCGTAGAATATATATTTTTTACTTCTAATACATAGTGATGCGTTACTTTCACTTATAATAATAACAATCTTTTATTAGGAAAAACTATCACATAAGTGTGGTTTTCATAGAATTCCTTTCATTAATGTACTGTTCAAAACTATTTATTCACACTATACGATATTCTTTTGACTGCTCTCTGCAACGACTTCAAAACGATAGAAATATCGAACCAGAAAAACATATATTTCTTATTTCGAACTCACGGTCTAATAAGAGTTCAAAATATGCAAAATGTCTTGAGACCTAAAAGTTCATGTAATTAACACCGATTATTCAAAATATTTTTAATGCAATCTTATAGGTAATACGACCGTCCCGTTTGTAAGAGTGCTCAATACGGATGTAGAGCGAAATATATATGCAATGCAATGTTGAAAAGAAAAGAACCTACTTAAATTATACTTATCGAAGTGTTTTGCACATGAACTAACTTACTAGTGAGAAGAATCTCCAAAACGTGATTTTCAGGCGAACGTTTTAAAAGAAACCGATAAAATCAAACGTGGTAGACTAAATGTTGCTAATTGATATCATGATACTAATACGTGATTCAAATTGACCTCTCAGTACAAGGAAATAAATACTTTACAAAATAAAAGATGTCTATAAAATAATCAAAGTCGCCTTCTTGTTATTGATAAACAAAGTTTCTTCTTGTACTAATTTGAAATTTTTGCCYACACAAGACTGTCTAATGCTAGAAAGGTATTGATTCAGTTTCGTAAGCATACTACTGGAAGCTCCATGGACTCCATGCGATCCGCACATGCGCGTACTTCTAGACAATCTCGTTCCAGAGCCCGCGCTCCTCTTGGCCTGAGGGCGCGAGCAACCACGAACTCTGGCCTAATCCATATTTTGCACGCTTTTCATTGGTCGATAGAATTTCCTCATTACGAATGCGGACGTCTCCGGAAGTAAAATTTGACCAATCATAGTTGCGAAAAACAGCGCCAAAATTCGGGCGCGAGCGCGATGAGGAGTCCTAGCCGCACTGAAGATGTTGCAAAATTGTAAACAAAAATTAATTGTAAAGTGTAGCAACAGAGTGTAGCAATGTCTTCTTCGAACAAAGCGGCGACGCAGCAAGTTTATAATAATTGTAGACTTTGCAATAAACTTTTARATCGCTACAAAGTAGATTTGTTTGGAAACAAGTCGAAGAGAGAGGGCATTTTAACGTCTTTGCAAGATATATGCTCAGTAGATAACATACATGAATACGACGGTTTCTCTGGATATTTATGTAGACTGTGCGCCACAAATCTCGTTAGTATTAGCGAAAAAATTCAAMATTTCAAATGTCTTTACCGGCAAACACAACAGCACTTTCTAAAATTTCAAATTGTTTGGTTTTCAAAGGTAAATTTGGCATTCCTATAGCCGCTAGACCGTGGTCTAGCGAACTATAAAACAAATTTTCCGCCATTTTTCTTTTTGACACGCATGCGCAATTTAACCGGAACACCTGAAAATCTGATGAAAAATATGGATTAGGCCAGAGTTCGTGGTTGCCGCGCCCTCAGGCCAAGAGGAACGCGGGCTCTGGAACGAGATTGATGCCTAGACTGATGCATTCCGATGAGATCACAGATACCAAATTTGTAAAACAATAGTTTTCCGGTGGTCCAGACGCGACAAAATACAAAGACAGATTGATATTCCCAACGAGGTAAAACTCAAGACTAATAGAAATGCGGCGTGTATGCAATGATTAATTCATTTGTATTATTGTCATTGTCAAAATTTCATAGGGTTGTATTTATGATAGAAACTTAAAGCCCGGGAGGGATTTGATATTCAGCAGGGAAATGTGGGGTCGATGAATTGAATTAAATAGCTCGTTATGAATTAAACGGGCTATATATGAGTGACCGGGATCACTCATATAGCCCGCTGAATTCATAACGAGCTATTCAACTCAATTCATCAACCCCATTCACTGCTGAATAATAAATAAACTAATTAAACTAAACGATTTTTTTTTTTAAAAAGACCCGTGTGGCCAGCAAAACCTGAGGAGATTGATAGCGTAATAAGTTCGAGTCCCGCAGCTTTTCTATACAATGTTCATCACCAGAGAATAACAATAAATAAGACAACAATAACCAAGAACTTCGTTACTTTTAAAAGAATCTATACGTCGAAATTGGACCGACGTGTATGAATCAGAAGTAATAGTGTAACTCGTATTTCTCCGCACCTAGGAGCAATCTATCCAAGCACGTGCACACAATTTGGTACTTTACTTTGTTCMTTCTGGAATCCTTCCCTCGTAATTTCTTTGAGCGAGTTTAACATCAAAAACTATTGTAATTTTYCTCGTTTTTCTCATCTGCAGACTTTCTCATCGTTATTTGCGGGCAGAGGCATGGGTAGTTCCAAATCCGATAAGAAATCGTCAATATCAAGGAACCTGTCAAACGTAATTTGAGCTATAAACAAATCGTCGTCACTGTTCGTTCGACATCGTTTGCAGAATGACTGTTAAGAATATTTTATAACAATATTGAAATTCCGATTGCTCTCTTTCGCATGAACAGGTTYTCTTAAGGAATATAATTTCAGTCCATGAAAATGTTTCAAGAGGAGAGGATTCTATTGTTCGAAWCCCAACTAAGAAAACATTCGTTTASTCTATTCAGTTTTTGCGTGAATTGAAAACTAAGTTTGTTAGCTACCTCGCAGCCTGCGGCCCTCGTGCTGTATATAGCGCAATGCCTCCGTTCTCGATAACTAACTCTTACCTATTAGGGTGTAGTAGGCTACCAAAAGGCAMAATCAAAACGCCGTGTTTGCCTAATTAGTTTGTCGCATGTCATAAGTTAGAGTGGTTTTCATTAACCCGTGAAACACACTTTAGCCTATTTATCGCTATTACACTTTGGCTCTTTTGTTTTTTATTGTCTCTACGCAACTATTACGATCTAATACACTCTAATTATTACACTTTGTTTCACGGGYTTATAAAAATCACTCTAAACTATTGGGAGCTAAGAGGGGGTACGTAATAGTATTTAATAGTCCTATTTCACAGACGGATTAATATCATTCTAGTTAGGTTAGTCCATAAATCATGTTTGGCAAAAAAGTACAAAACACAAGTCACTAGTGCATAATACTGCTAGTTTCGTGTTAATTTTGATATTTTTCAGCAGTGTGTATGATGGKCCATATCTTTAGGAAGATTACCAGCAGCAATTGTTGTGGTGTGAGACGAACCACGGACAGCACGTGGTCATGGGTAGTTTGTTTGTGTGGACTGGTATCCAATACTATAGTTACAGGCTGCCTTGGAAGCTTTGCTGTAATGTTTCCCGCCATATTGGATGAATTTAGTACTAGCAAAGGCACAACAGGTAACATGAAGCAGATCAAGGAATGCATGTTATTAGTTTGTTATTTATGCAAAGTGATATCATAAACTCGTGGAAATGCAAGATTTGGAAGTCCGACTGCAAAGAGAAAAACTTTCGAATASTTGAGGTGTCGGCGACGGTTTTGACCGCCATTTTGTTTGGGTAGGCAAAGTCTYKCAAGGATACAGTGTGAAATTTATGTCAAATAACTCCAGTTGAATTCCCATGAAAAGCGCAAAAAGAACCACAAATCGACACTCAGAAAGCACTTTAAACTTTAAAAAGTTTATTTCTAAGCTAAAAAAAACAGAATATAACCCCCCCAAAATAACCAAAATATGGATGTTTTTTTTTTTGAAGAGATTTCAACGGCTTTCGGCCGATAATCGCCATAGGAGGCCTGGAGCCGACCTCTCTTCTCAAAAGTCTGATAAGCCTGTGCTGTATCCTTKTTATTTTACGAGACTTTGCCTACCCAAACAAAATTGGTCAATTGATCTATTAAATGCTGAATTGTTTACATTTTTAGCACTGGTTGGCTCAGTAGGTATGTCCTTTGCATACCTGTGCGGGCCAATAGCTGGAAAGCTTACCAAGAAGTTCGGTTGTCGTTGTATTGCCATATTTGGATCATTAATGATGATGTCAGGTTTGATATTCTCATCCAAGGTCCCCAATATGTACCTACTATTTGTTTCATACAGTACAATATCGGCCTTCGGCATGTGCTGCATATACACTTCTGCGATTCTTATAGTGASCAAATATTTCGACAAACGACGTTATCTTGCCATTGGTATTATCGCCATGGGACCTGGTGCGGGCGTCTTTGTAATGACACCTATCGCTCAAACCTCTCTGGATATGATTGGTTGGCGCTATACTTTTGTTGTTTTATCTGGTTTTGCTCTGATGGCAACGCTTCTCTCTTGTACATTTGACCCAGCAATTGTGAATGAAGAAGCATGCTACGACGATGATATTGGTCAGCAAATGGTTAATAGAGAAGTTGACGTACCTTTTTGGAAAAATCCAGCATGGACAGTTATGACATTATCAACGGCAATTATTAGCTTTGGCGCTCCGGCTCCTCAAGTACATATGGTAAGTGAGTGACACACTAACCCTACTGAGTATTTCACGGACCATTTTACAAGGGAGAATAGACAGGTAGGATCACAGAGAGTCTCAACAACTGGCTAACAGTTATGTGCGCAAGCAAACAATTTGTGGGTGGTGTATGTCACTGTGTAGTGAACGACAACGACCTTACCCTTCCCTCCACAGGTTCGTTATTGTGAGGAGCTGGGATACACTTCAACTAAAGGGTCAAAGTTGTACATTTACTTTGGAGCAGCCTCCTTGATATTTCGAGTAACTACTGGAAAATTTCTTGAAATCACTAAACAATCTCAATGGGCCAAGCCTCAGTATTTTTATCAAGTCAGTGTTTTCATAATTGGCATAACAACTGTACTTTGTCCTCTCAGCAATAATTTTTCCTGGCTAACTCTGTATTTTACATTATTTGGATGTGCTGACGGATGCTTTTGTACGTGTATGAATGTGGTCATATTGAATACTGTCACAGAAAAGCAAAGAGATCAGTCGTATGGATTTTGGCTGGGAGCGTTTGCAATTCCAATGGCCCTGGGGCCAACTGTTGCAGGTATATCATTAAATTGGTCATTATTGTTTTCGAGATCGTTGGCTTTGTTATTATAAGTGTCATGTTAAAGGGCGCTGACATATTTACACTTTCAGGTTTCATGGCCGATGCTTATGGTACATATAAACCTGCATTCTATATGACTGGAAGTGTTATTATCCTAAGCGGCCTTGTCATTTTTATTTTGCTGTTCTGGAAACCTCATCAACCTGAATGCAACGAGATACTTTTAGAAAGTACATCGATTATTGTAGAAAGGGAGACAGTTGTTTAAGAAAAGTATTATTTAATAATTCATTATTTAAGTAATATATAAAATATGAGTGGGATATCTTTATGGGCTTTGAAGAGAAACTCCAAATAGTCAACTTTATAGATATTTTGGTTCGATGACTATGTACAAAAGAACGCACGCGAGGTTCCGGGAAAACAATGGATAATCTTGATTTATTCTTTTATTTCCCCGGAGCCTCGTCTATAATTATTTTGTGCATGTTCACTGAACCAAAATATCAAAAGTCGGCTATTAAAGTCTTATGATTCAAATCAGGAGAAATCTCTTGCTCATACTAGGATTCGGGCACTGCAATGATTTTYTATTGAGTTTACCTAACAAATTATTATGAATTTTATAAGAATTTTTATCAATATTTACGCAGTTAAATGATGTCAATGTTTTCTTTCCTTTTCATTCAGTGAAAGAATCAATGTATAAGAGTAAAGAAAGAGTGAAACAGTTGTTGATTATGTGAGCTCATATAGGATACTATACATAGATTCATGTTTGAGACCATGATAATCTGGTAGCCCACTACTTTTTACGCTATTCTTGATCGATTAACACGTTAAACTACTGTCAGGATGATGGGGATGACTATTCCGAGTTTGAGTTTCACCCACAAACACCGTTGTTTTAGATAGACGACGTATACAAGGTAGTGTATTACAGACGCGTTTCAAAGCCCGTTAGTCTTTGTACAGTGTTTGGCACTACACGCGGCTATGTTCCTTTCCCCTTAGCACACGACTCCTCGTTGAAACTTAACCATCTAGAGTTTTCCGATTTAGCGGAACTTCCGCGGAAGTTTGTTCCACACTTCCACCTGTAGTAATGAGTTCAATTGCGACCTCATTAGCATAACAAAAAAAATGAATAGAATAAAAAACGGTTTTCAATCAGCATTTTATTCACATCTACATATACATTTTAACTTGCAAAATCACAATTGACATTTTATAGCATGCAAACAGTCAGTCAGTAGCGTCCTCTTAAACGACGAATAATATKTTTTCGACGGTTTGATAAATAGCCACATGTGCAAACAACATAAGGCAGAAAACATCGCTTGTGTCTGAATGTGGAATTTGTAGCTGCATACACCTTTTGAAACCCAATAGAATGTTCTATCTTAATTCTTATGGCACGTAGGGACCGATTCGCYTGTCTTTGTCTTTGATTTAACGGTGCTCGTTTTGGCACTACCAGTGGCAATCTTGCTGCGTAGCCTCCGTCAGCCAGTAGACGGGCTCTT